CTTGGAGGAAAAAGTGCTTTATGATACGTATTCACAGACATAAAATCAGTCAGTAATCAATAGATCCAAATTGTTAATTGAAGTGGAAGAAACAGACATGTTGCTGAGAAATCTGTGAAATTCTTTTATGCAACTGTCAACTGAAATTTAATGAAAACATTCCATTGATACCTTATAGATTTTTATTAATAAATCTACTGTTCACATTTATAGTTTTTAAATGTTCCAAAGAACAACTGTGCAAAAAAATGTCTTCAGTGTCCAATGAAATTTTCTACTTCAAAAGAAGAAAAACAACTTTTCATAGTTTTAAGCACCATTTTAAAGACATCACTGCCAAAATCAGAGAGTTGCTCAAATTAGGCAATTTGCTTTTTTATGTTTAAAATAAATCTATTTTCCCCCAAAGACTTTCAAAATATTAAAAGAAGTGGGGGGGAAACATGGAAAACAAGCTTCTTCAAAAAACAAAGTGATTTCATTCCTTGTCAAGAGGACAAATCAGTGGTGGGTGAGAAACAGATGAGACGAAATGGAAATGTAATATTGCTCCTATTTTATTATAATTAGATATTTATAGAGCACAGATGAGTTTATTTTCATAATTAGTAGCTGGCAATGCATTTACTAATTTGCATAAATAGTTGGCTATCAGGCAGTAAGTTAGTTGCAGGGCTCTCAAGTCCTAGAAGTGGCAAGAGGGACTCAACTCCTCAAATCAGCTTCCTTAACGTTATTACCAACAAAATACAATCTACGTGAAATCATGTTCCAGTTCATGTAGCTTGATTATTGCTTCCCAGTTTGGCCAGTGTTGATGGGTTCAGTATTAGAAGGCCAGTGATCAAATCCACATAGGAAACACACACATAAATCCAAAGGGGCCTTTAAATCCTAATGGATTGGATTAGATTGTAGGATCAACTATCTAGTTCAGTAATCAAAGTGATCTATAAAGGAAAAAGAATTAGGCGCCCCCTATCCCCTATGGCCAGTTGTTGGCAGCCCTTCTAGTCATTCTCAGCATGGTCCATCCCCTCTGCTACATGTGCACACTACTCACCAAAACCAGCTTCACCTGATACATGAATCAAGCTCTCTGGCAGTGTCACCATGGGGAGGAAGGATTCCTGTACCCTGACTGATGCTGTGGGCCAGGAGAACATTAAGCACACTGCCAGTGACTTCCTGCCTTGATTGACAGCCAGTGAGAAATCTAGGAGAAACAGTTCATTCCACCTTCTACTCAAGCCAAAGGTCAAAAACTTGTGGCTCCTGGGCCAACTCACTTGGTATGCACCACACACACCTGTGTGTATGCTCCCACATACAAAAAGCAAACAGTGCCAAGAACAAACCTTCATATGAAACACATTTTGGGCTTGTCTTGCTTGAGGCTTTGGTGACACTGGGACTGCATTCTTGCATAGCAGAGATCAGCTAGAACGGAGTAGAGGCTGCAGACTTCAACAGGATTTTTGTGCTCTGGTTTGCCACAGTCCCTACCAGCACTTATTGTTTCCCTCACCCTATGATTTCTTTTGCCCCTAGATATATTCCTTTGTGAACCTATTGGGTCCCTGTGGATATTTAGGTCTGCAACTCCTGCTCCAAGTTTAGTTTAAAAAAAAAAATTGTTTGCTCACCTAACCCAGAAATGTACAATCCCCAAATGGACAAGAAAATGAGGAAAGAGGACAAAACACACTCTCAACCTTAAACAGAGGCTGTCAAAAATCAAGTCCAAGAGCTGACCAGTACTGCTAAAGAAGTCCTCTGTGCAGCCGTTTCTGTGTCAAGTCACACTATATTTTGGCCCCATGCTGCCCAATGGCACCCTGAAAAGCAGGTTAAACATCCTGCTCAGTTTTGTAAACTTCACAACCCTTTCTTCTCTGTTCTGTTTCATCACTCAGCTTTTAAATAGCAAAATCTGAGGTGTATTTATTCTTTTCTTTGACAGGCTCCTAAGAAGAAATCCAAGACCTTTCACCTTTCATTCTGGTGTAATCTATAACTATTTACCTCTGACACTTGTACCTACAAGACCAGAAGATGGCCCTTGTGAGCAAGGAACTGGACAACTATCTCCCTCCATGACCTTGGGACTCTTGGATCAGTCAGTGGAGATATTGAGGATAGTCAGGAGAGAGACAGGTTAATGAGTAGAGGAACCCCATTAACCTCATCACTGCCAAAAATATCAAATCCTATCCACCTATCTTCCTCCTGTATATCTAAAACCAATTATTTAGTTTAGCTAAACATTATTCAATTCTTTGAGCATTCATCAAGTATAACTTTCAACCAAATACTGAGCCCATGCAGTACAGGTTACATTGACGGATAAGACACAGCCTTCCTTCTTTGGGGTGGGAGGAATTATGACTGAAACACATGAGCACACCTGGTACAAGGCAAATTTGGTGTAGGTCCTTGAAAGCAAAAGTCCAAAGTCTAGAAGAGCCAGGAGACTTGGACCTCCAAAGATGATAAGGGAGAAGAAAGTTCAAGAATATTTAAACAAGAGTAGACTTTGAGCAAAATTCCAAAACAGACAACAATGGAGCTCCATGCAGGGGGGAGTGGAGGGCTTCAGGAGACTGGTGCACTGGCAAGAATGATAGTAGGGAGTAGGTAATGGCATTGGAAACATAATGCCTTCTCTAAGGCACCTTAACAATTACACAAAGAGAAATCACCAGTAACTTTTGAGCAGATGAGCTACATGATCCGATTTAATTTTAATTTTGCTTTTATTTCACTTTTAGGAAGATAGACTGACAGCGGGATAAGAAGGATTAGAGATTTTGAGTCCCCTTCCACATGCAACACAGAAGGATAGACACATCTGGACATAAACAAATAAATATGTTTGTCTTCAACATACCTGCAGCCCAGTAGAGAGGAGGGATAGTTCAATTCCCAAGTAATTCCCAGGTTTCCAGCCTGGGTGATAAAGAGAATAGGGCTCCAATAACAAAAATAGGGACATCACACAAGGAAGCTGGTTTGTGGACAAATGATACAAAGGTTGATTTTGGACATAGAGGCGACAGCACTAGGTGACACTATATGAACATGTGTTATAGCAAATGCAAGGTGACAGGCTGGAAGTTAAGATGGATTGGTTACCAGGAGATAGCAAGGAGGCAGGTACATGAGCATTACCCTTGGAACCAAGAGATGCAGTGTAGAGATGTGGTTAGGGGCTCAGATTCCAGGTTGGATTCTCTCTTAGTAGCCACCTGATTTAAGTGACTTAACTCTTGGGCTTTGTTATCCTTGTTCATAAAAAAAGAACAATGCCACCACTCACCTCCTAGAAGAGCTAAGAATATTAAGTGTGATAAGGAACATAAAACCCATAACACAGTAGCTGGTGCACAGGAGCACTCCATGTGATAGCAACTACCAGGCATGGTAACAGCAAAGATCCAGAGACAAAAAATAAAATCCATGGAAAACCTAAAAACACTTATTATAGAGGATTGGGGTAAAGAGAAACTCTAATGTACTGCAGAAGCCAACTGCAGATGGTACAAGTGACCAATGACACGTGTTTCAGAGAGGCTGAGCCCTGGGCAGACTGGTGGCTTGTCCCATTAGATCATTGGCAGCCTTAGAGTGAGCCATACCAGTAGAGAGAGGGAGGTCCAGCCAGACATACCCCTCTAATCTCTATTACTCTCCCTCTTCCCCTTTCCCACCCACTTAGCAATGGGGTAAGGGTGCCTCAAGACAGATTTCTGGGAATGAACATACTTGGGCTTAGCTTAAAAGGAACAGGCAATCAGCCAGCCCCAACGTAGAAAAGACTGAACTGCTTCCAAGGAAGCCATACAGAACTTTTTTTTTTTTTAATCAAATCTGGAAAAGCACAAAACTCAAATGAGAGATGGCCAGTGTACACATCGAGCCCTCAAATCAGCATTTTCAAGAATGTCAGCCCCTTCTCTCCGCCACACTCTCATGCCAGACTTCACATCTCCTATCTTGCTATTTGCCAATTTTTGAAGGAAGCAGCTGCACACAGCTTCACCAAGATAGGGGCTGGAGAGTTAGGGAGGAAGAGGGATGGCTGGATGCAGATACATATTTATAATTTATCAATTAACCTCTCCCTTCACTCCCGAACAGCTAATCCAATTTGAGCTGGCGAGCCAGGTTCTCTGGGCTCAAATCTCTGACAGCTCTAGTTAGGGATGGATGAGTGAGCTGTGCTACCCAAAGGTGTGATGCGCTGAGCAGCATGTCAGAGCTCTACAGCAAGCCCACCGGCTCAGGGCTGCTCCCTTTCCCTGCCCACCTGGCAAAGGCTGACTTTGTATATTAAAATTCTCCTTCCTCCTTACAATGTAATGCATTTATATTCCTAGATTCTTCCACACACCCCAGTCCCATCCTCCTTAGCCCGCCATCAAAAAAAATTCCAACTCCCACATAATACAGGGAATACAGCACCAGAGGAAAAATAGAGCAATAAACAAGTAATCCCCAAATTCCACCCTAAATAAAAATTCAGGCAATTTGCCAGCCCTCTCTTCTTTCTCATCGATCATCCTTCCTTCACCAATGTTAGCCCCCAATTTGGTTATTCCTAAATAATGGCAACAATAGCTCACCAATTCACACCTCCCCTGTTCCCTCAATATGCTTTACTCCTCGGAGGGGATCTTAGAATGCCCTCCATACCGCATGAACATTTCCAGAACTGCGCCCCCCCATTCCTGCTAGAACCAATTTGACATTATACATAAGGTTCATCCTGGATTTAGAGGGAAACAAGCTAACTCAATCACCCCCAAGCACTGAATACCAAGTGCATCAAAGGTAAATGGCAGCATTGGCTTTTTTTTTCTTTTTTTAAAGTTTTTGTTAAAAGCACTAGATTCTAATCTGGACTGTATTCATCAGAATCGAAAATTCCCCTTGTATACACGAATAATTCAGAAGGCAGATTGATCGTTGTAATGATAAAAAAATAAAGTGACCTCTACCTTTACTTCTACCTACAGAAATGAAGTAGAAGGTCCAGTTAAGAGAAGAAGCAGGGTGTCCACCATAGAGACGGCGAGAGAGAGTAAAAGAAAGGAAAGTCACATCAGCACATGGCAGACCCACACAGACACACAACACACATAACAGAGCTACCACAGACAGCAAAGGCAGTAGCATGGCAACATCCCCAGAAGGCAGCACAAAACTAACGCACAATGGGAAGCTCAAACAAGCAGTAAACATTGACAGCAAGGCTGCTTCCATTGTACGTAAGCTTCATCCCATTCATTTCTTCTTAGTCCCATCCTCAGGAACATGACAGTCTGCATGCAAGAGCACTGCACAGCTACATGTATGTGAAACTGCACACACTTAACGGATTTAATGATGATTAGGGAACATCTCAGAGAAGCGAGGTTCTCTTATATTTTCCCAGCATTAATATGGTCATGAGAACCAAGAGTATAACATACATGTACAGGTGATGCACATATAGCATACGTAAATATTCACACACATATTCAAAGACATCAAAAACAAATTCTGGAGATCCAGTGGGAGCCAGACAGAAGCCACTTTCACGGGAAGGAATACAGAGAAGGTAAGGAGTATCAGTAGAAAGAAGAGGGTTATTATCAGAGGGTGAGAATGGACAAGGAGTTGGGGAATGGGAAAGGAGAGGAAGAAGAGTGCAGTCAAAGGATCCTATTAAAAGACAGATTATGCTGCAAGTGGCAACTTAACATCTTAGTGGCATCAGTCACCCAGAAGAATTCTGCATCCTCTCTTGAAAACATCTCTAAAGAGGCATTTATCACATTCATGTTTGAAATCATTTCTTTCCCTTTTTTTCTAGAAGGTAACTCATTTCTTCCCCTGGAGCATGGTTACATTTGAATGCTCTACTAATATGCGTTGGAGTACAAGATAAGGTATAAAAAATGGCTCTCTAAAAACTTTTCATGCCAATATTGGGATTTCGCCTTCCTGTGCTGCATCAGTGTGTCTGAAAAGAGCTAAATCAAGATCAAGGAAGTCCCCATTGGCCCATCCCATCTGCCATACTTTGCTCCATGACATCAGCCATCTGATGCACTTGATACTCCAAGCCACTGTACAAGCTGGGAGAACTGAAGGGCAGCCAGAAGCATAAGACTAGACAACACAAAGGAAGCCACTGTCATCAGGACTCTGAGGGCCTGCTCTTTGGGGTATTACTAGTCACCAAAGTTGGGCCATCCAGTTTCAGCAATTCGTAGAATTCAGTTCCTTTCTCCTCTTAGAGAAGTGTGTGATACTCACCAATATCCAGACACTGGGTGGACAGGGAGAACATGCCCTCACACCCGCTTCATAGCTACTTGCCATTTGAACCTGCATTCCTCACTCCCACAACAACAAAAGACAGGCTGCATCCCAGCCTCTTCCAGAGCCAAGGCTAAAACTGGGGGACTCATCTGACCCCTCTCTTTGATATTGGCTCTCTACCAATCCATCTCTTCACTGCAATTTCTGGAGATCACATCATGGACGTCAGGTCTGGAGGATATACTTATATTAGAAAAGTGGGCTTCCTCCTTAATCTGCCGTAATTCAGGATGCCTTTCACCTGCCCACTTCCACAGCTACCTGGACACCACAAACCGTCTTCTTGTAACCCTGGGTGGTTCCTTGATCTGATCATACTTCCCTTTATGGGAAAATATTCTGATGGAGCCAATGGAAGGGACCAGGGGAAGGGAAGTGCCACCAGGGCTGCCCTTCCCCCCTCAAAAGACCAAGAAAAGCAGGGATGTTTGGAAGTACCCATCCTTCTTTTCTTTAGTTCTCCAAGAGAAGCATGTGTATTTGGGGGGGGGGGGACAGACAATAAAAATTAAAGTGCAGTCTTTTGGTGACAGGGCAAGGCAGGTAGACCAATCTTGCAATCACCCCAGTACTCGGAGGAAGCCCAATAGTAGCAATCGAACAATGAAAGAAAAGACAATTTTAAGTAGGATCAGTTCTCAAATCCTGACTTGGGCTGATAATGTGGAAAATTTTTATTTAGGAGAAAAACGCTTCATTCACAGCCCACCCCATGCTTAGCTGAGCTGAATTTCCTGCACAGTTCATTCCCTGCATATTTGAATATTTTAGGTTACAGATGCTGAATTTACAGATCTTTATATGCAGTTTTCTTCAGGGTGTATAATGAGTTAGAATTCTGCCATGAGGACATTAGCATGTTCTTTCAGTGATTTTTTGCTTTTATATCAAACTGAAAACAGTCAAACCCTCAAGGGCTTCCTTTGACCAGGGAAGAATGGCATTAAGATGGGCAATGGAATGGAGGGCAAGACAAAAGCAAGCCTTTACCCAGAGTGAAACTCAGGGAGAAGCTCAGCTCCTCTCCCCCAACCTGGGGCCCAGCCGGGCCCGAGGAGGAGCAGGAGGAAGTTAACCGCCTGGTTGCTCTGAAATTAGCTCCGTTCACCCCCATTATCGACGGTCATGCCTTGTTTCATGCTTGCCTCTTGGAGGCAGCCCAGCAGGGCCAGCGCCCAGGATGACAAATGGCAGTGGAGAATGGAGAAACCAGGGGAGAGTGGGGGTGGGGCATCATGATGCATCAGGAAAGGTGCCCCTCACACACAGCAGGGTGGCCCTACTGCCATGCTGGTCCACAGCAGGAGGGACAGGCAGCTAGGCCTGCCAGCAAGGAGGAGGCTCTGAGTGACCAGCCAGAGGCACAAAGGCAAGCAGTGCAGGCAGCTGCAGGATCACAGGCACAGAGCACCTACCTTGTTCACTCATCATGAGGTGGGAGAGGCCTGGAGGAAGTAGAAGGGGGGAGAGAGAGGAGGAGGGGGAAAGGGAAGGAAAAAAGAAAGAAGACAAAGTTAAAATCCCAAATGCAATGCCATCATAATTCTTGGGTGGCAAGAGGTGTGGTAAGGCAATGAACACACTCGGAACATGCAACAAACCAGCACCCCAGCCTTCCTGCTTCAGGGCAGAAGGCTGGCTCTTACCATCTCCAAGACAGTCTTTTCATTGTCAAACTGTAATGGGCCTAATAAGGCCGACTTTCCTTTTGCCATTGTTCTGTGCAATACATAGGATTTATGATAAATATAGTAAGACCAGGTCCCTGGGAAGGCAACTCACAAACCCAGGTAAAGTAGGTTTCTTCCTTTCTTTCAAATTACTTGGAATAGTAATACATGGTCACTGTAGAAACTTGGAGAAATTCAGACAAATAAAGAGGAAGAAAACAAGCATTTGAATTCCTACTATCCAAAGATTACCATCAACTCTTTTTTCTAATATAATGTTGTTTTGTGCATAAATTTAATCCTATTGAACACGCCAGATATGTACCTGCTTGCCAGAGATGCCCAGACAACCTAAAACCGATTCTCGGTGTTACCATTTCCCCTAATACTACCTTCTCTTATCATTTCCCGACTTTGCTCCATACCCTGTCCACTACTTTTCCTCCATGTTTTGTTTGTTTGTTTGTTTGTTTGTTTGTTTTCCTAGAAAGTTCTACACACTTATCAGGAAGACCCAGTTCACCACTGAATAGGTTAAAAAAATGTTCAAAAAGTCTAAATAAACAAAAAACAGAATCTCTGGCCACATTCTTATGCAAAGGTAAACAAGGTTATTAAGAACCCCTTCCTTCAAGGGAAGCATAAGCTCTGATGATTTTTTTTTTTTAAAGATTCCCCACCATTAACCTACTATGCCAGTCATCTGCTCTTGTATTGCTTTTATTATTACTGGAGATGTTTCACCAAATCCAGATCACCCCAGAGAACCTTTACTTGCAGCAAAATTCAGGGATATAGGGGATTAATAAAGGAGGAAAGAAAAAAAAAAACTCTGAAGTATGAAAATCTCTAAATGTTTTTGGAGATTACTAGAGATTTACAAAAGTAATCAGAGGCAAAATATAGGTCAAACAACTGACTTTTAAAAGATCAGAGATATATTAAACACATAGATACATGTGCCCCAAATGTCATGGAGTCTATTTTTTTAAACAAATTTCATTAAACCACAATCATATTGTAAATGCACAGTTCTGGCCTTCATTGCTGTAGGACTGGAATCAGTACTTTTGGAAGAACAGAACCGTGCCAAAGCAAGTCATTGTAATGATTTGTTTTGTTAAAAAAAAATAAGTTTAATTTTTTGGGGGGTGAGTGGGTAGTAAGATAGTAAGGAGAGAGGATGGGAAACCTTCACAGAAATAACTACAGTGCCTGATATTTCTGCACAGAGTCACAGCCTTCGGCATCCCTATCAAGAGCACAGAGGGAAGGGATGAGGGCAGGCAGGTGTGGTGTCTGGAAAGCGGAATGTACGAATTTAGTAGGTGACCATTCATAAGAGCCTTGTCAGCTTTAAGAAATGGGAAAAGGAAAGATCCAAAAAAATTCCTAAGAGTAAAATTGGGGTTTGTTGCTGTTGTTGTTGTTGTTGGATTAAAAAGCCACCATTTTCTAGCTGAGATTAAAGATACGTGGCAACTACAGGACAGTAAGTAGAGAAGAGCTGAAGAGTCTACTTGACCCAAACAAATATTTTTACAAATTTTCCAGAATGAAGGATAAGCAAGACACTTGATAGTAAGGGGTCCTCGGACCCTGGGGAAACCTCTCCAGTTGGGTTTCAACTTCTGTATATTTCACTAGTGACCTGTGAAATGCTTGGGAAAAAAAAAGATGCTGGACTCCACCCCAGACATAATGAACTCGAATCTTGGGGAGGGGTAGGGGCCAGAAATGAATTGTATATAAGTTGCCCAAGTGGTTCCCAAGGTCCCTGAAACTTGAGAGCTACCTCTTGGGAATGGCATATAAATCAAATTTTGGTAAATTAAATTGTATGATAAATTCACTAAGAGGAATTGGATATTTAATGGAACCCTGCAGTGGATCCTTTTGTGAAGGGAAGAATCCTTTTAAAATGCAAATAACCTACCACCTGTGTTTTTTAAATTCGAATATGTACTTATCAGGTTTTATTAAACTACATATGTGCTTGCAGTATTGCCACTCAAGTAAAATGTTCATCTTCTTCAACTTATAAAAGCCTTAAATAGAAATATTAAACCAGGAAAGCAAACTTGAGCACCTAAATGCCAAAACTCTGGTTTTGCAGGCAATAAAGCAAATGGACAGGAGATAAGTGTGACAGGAAGCCGGATGGGGGAGGGGGTGGCCTGTGTAAGTATAACATGATTTGAGTTTTATTTTGCTTTTTGTGAAGGGAATTTTATTTCACTTTCAAAAGCTTTTACATCAATCTCTTTTCTTGTGTAACCCTATCCTCATGGCTTGCAGAGTTAAGAACTGGAAACCAAGAATTCCAGAGTATTCAGGTCTATTCTGAAATTCTGTCTCCACCTGATCTTTCAAAACATCCCCAGTTGGTGCTAAAAAAACCTCAGGCTTCTCAATAGTAAATGGAAAACCCAACAACCAATCAAGCAAGCAGTTCAAGTGCCTTCTACATGCAAGGGCTGGATTGGGATGGTGGGAATGCAAGTAGGTATAATACAGCATCTGTAACTTCTAGGAGTTCAAATTCCAGCTGGGAAGAGGTATGTGTGTTTAGGGTTACACACACACACACACACACACACACACGCACACACACACACGACATATACCAGCACCTCATGTGAAGCACAGGGATTAACAGTAAGGACTCCTGAAATAGATTTGAATTTCATCTCTACTACTTTTTAGCTTGTAACCCTAGGAAAGTTCCTAAACTTTTCTGGGCTTGGATTTTTTCCTATTTATAAAATATGGATAATATTGTCTACTTCATACATTGTTTTGAGGAGGAAATAAATTATATAAATCTTATGTTCTAAAAGTGTACTAATGTGTGAGGCAAAATGATTATGGTGCCTGACACACAGTAGGTGTTCTGTGTGTGCTTGGTGGTTGAGTGAGAAATGAATGGGGAATTGCTAAGTATCAAGGAACCAGACAATTTGGCAGAGAAGGATTAACAGGGGCAGCTGGGTGCTCAGAAAATAGACCTTGGAAGATGCTTTAAGATTTAGAGAGTTGGTGAACAGTCCAGACAGCACCACCAGCTTCCAAGACCACGAAGCACATTTGTAAGAGCTTTCCTGTTTACCTTTTCAGAAATAACTAGGGTGGTACTAAGCACATGGAAGTGCTATCAATGATAAAGCAACAAACACATGCTATACAGAAAAAGGAATGAATATGTATAAATAGCTCATATAAGGAAGGAGTGAAAGATTGTTCTAGGGATCAGAGTATGGAGGCTCAGGGTTTCAAGGTTAAGTAAGATGGACTTGATCTTGCAGCTGTTGGAAGAAACTGAGGGTTCATGGGCAAAAGCAGGACCCAGGAAAACTGATGTCCAGGAAGATTGCTTTTGCAATAATATGGATAGGATGGATTAGATGGAAAGAGATGAAGGCAGAAAGATCAGTCATGGACAAAGGACCCAAATGAGTATCATGGCAGCAGGAAAGAAAAGGGGAAAGAGGATTCGCTGGCTTTGATGATGGATAAGATACATCAGGGGAGGGATGGATGGGAGAGAGCAGGAAGCAATGTCAGAAATAGGAAGGTGGGTGAGGTGGGATAGGAGGTGGATTAGGAGTGAGGACAGAGTGGGTTCTGTTTCAGGCATGATGAGCTGAAGAGAGAGAAGGATCACTCAAGCAAAAATGCCCAGTATGAATTTAACACTGTAGGACTATGGAAAGCAAGGAACTCAGGATGAACATAAGGACTTAGTATAACCCCTTGTGGAAGAGAGTCAGCACCCTCAGGGTAAAAAGTGAAAGAAAGACCCTTTGAGGAAAGGATCTGCAGCTGAGTTGTAACCTGGGATGGAGGCGGGGTTACTGAGATTAGTAGAAGTTCGTCTTTTTTCCACATATACTCAACATTGAAATATAAAAAAATACTTTTTATTTTAAAAAGAAAATGAGACTCTATGACTTTGCAACATAAGATTACTGAAAATAATGTTCAAAGTATCTTAAAAACTGAGTAGGACATAATTAGCAAGAAAGAAAGGAGGATCTCTGCTGGATGTGTTCTGTGTGTGTTTGACAAGGAAGGAATTAAAATGAAGATAGACCTCAGAAGCAGAGAGTCAAAATGCATGCACATCAGCAGTGGCTCCCCAGGCCACACTGCCAGCCCTAGGACTGTCACCTACCTGGTTTGAAGTTTGCATTTATTCTGAGACTGATATTTCAGGGCTGCCAAAAGATAAGGGTTGGGCTGGACTCGGGGCTGATGGAACCAAAAACAATTCTAAAACAATTTTGCCAGAAGCTCTGGATTTCAACAGATCCTCAAGTATGACTCAAAAGTCAGATCCATAGCAGTTCACCTAAGAGTAGGTAGGAAACAGAAGCTGGGCTCAGATGACCTTTTGAGAGCCAGGCAATCATGAATTCTAGCAAGGCACAGTGGTACATGCCTGTAATCACAGCAGCTTGGGAGGCTAAGGCAGGAGGATCCTGAGTTCAAAACCAGCCTCAGCAAAAGCGAGGCACTAAGCAACTCAGTAAGACCCTGTCTCTAAAGAAAATACAAAACAGTGCTGGGAATGTGGCTCAGTGGTTGAGTGCCCCTGAGTTCAATCCCCAGTACCCAATTAAAAAAAGAATTCTATCTGATGTCACACCTTTATAAAGTACCATCCTTGCTGCATCTAGGGACCATTCTGGATCCCAACAAGGGTCTGATTCTTAAACCTTTCCTCCTCCCTTTCTACTGCTATATTCCATCTTTCATGGTACACAGATTCCCAG